CTATTAGCAATCTCTCATTCTTGTCAAAAATCATTGAGAAGTGTGTATCTATACAGCTCACCAGTTATCTTGAGGATAACAACTTGCTTTCTAAAGTTCAGTCCGGCTATAGGAAGTTTCATAGCTGTGAAACTGCAACAACCAGAATCCATAACGACATCTTGATAACTATTGACAAGAAAACTAAAGTTGTTCTTTTACTTCTAGATTTGAGTGCTGCCTTTGATACTGTCAATCACCCAAGATTAATCAAGAAGCTAAGATCTGCTTATGGCATTACAGGCATTGCTCTTACATGGATCAGGTCCTACTTGGCTAACCGTTCATTTTGTGTCAAAGTCAAGGATTCGTCTTCCTCATCAACTGTTCTTGAGATAGGTGTGCCACAAGGTTCAATCCTTGGCCCCCTGCTATTCATATTGTACACCAAAGATCTTGAGAACATTGCAAGTATGCATGGGTGCTGTATTCATTTGTATGCTGATGACACCCAGCTGTATTTCACTCTTGATTCTGATGACCCATCACAGCTAGAGCACAATATGGAACACTGTATGTCTGATATCAAGAAATGGATGACAAACAATTTCCTTCAACTGAATTCTTCTAAGACTGAAGTCATCGTTATATCCTCTAAATTTGACTCAAAAAATATTCCAGCCTCTCTACAGATTGTTAAGGATCAAGAGCCACATGTTGTTAGTGGAACTGTGAAGAGTCTTGGGCTGTATTTGGACAGTTATCTTTCAATGAGTGATCAGATTACGTCAGTGGTTCAAGCATGTAATATTCAGATCAGAAATTTGTGGTTTATTGCATCAAAACTGTCTTTTAACCTTAAGATTCAGCTTGTTCATGCTCTAGTACTCTCTAGAATTGATTATTGCAATAGCGTATATTTTGGACTGAGCTCTTATGATTTAAGTCGTTTACAGAAGGTGCAAAATTCTGCTGTAAGATTTATTTTCGGGAGAGGAAGAAAGGCACACACTACTCCACTACTTAAGAAAGTTCATTTTCTACCAGTTAGATTTAGAATAGATTTTAAGATTGCCCTACTTGCCTACAAGTGTTTAAATAATATAGCTCCTCCTTACTTAAAAGAGTTGATATCTCCTAGGCAGCAAAGTTTTAAAAATGTACGTCTTGATAATGATTATTTTTACCTTAGTTTTCTGCCCTCTCCTAACTATGTAAACACAGAGAAAGCTTTTAGTCACTGTGCAGTTAAAGTATTTAATTCCTTGCCATACGACATAAGATCAGCTGAGTCAGTTACATCTTTCAAGACCAAACTTAAAACATACTTCTTTTCTCTAGCATTTGATTGATTTTGCATTTACATAGGTAAAATGAACTTGTCATGTCTAATTTTCAATTAAACTAAGCTCAGTTAATGTAAGAGCCGCTTTAGAAAGCACTGGAGTTTATCTCCAGGATTAAATTATATCGAGTTATATGATTTAGCTATAAGGCGGTTTATAAAAGTTGTATTTATTATTATTATTATTACAATGAATAATGATATCATAATAAATATAAGTAGACATCCGATAATAAACTTGTTACATCCAGTACAACCCAAGATGTCAGCCGACACGACTTACAAAATAAAGAAAGCTAGCATGTTATGTTCATTGTTCATAGTTTATCTAACGAGCATGCTTAGCACTTAGGCTGTACGGAAATAGCTTTAATTCTACGTCATATTAAAAACTTTACATCATTTTTGAGATACAAAAATAAATTTTAAAATAAATAACTATTTTGCTGCTTAGGCGCGGCACCGCGCTTGTTCCACATGCTATACAGTGTGTAGCAATGACCTGATCTGAAGCTCTCATGCAATGCCCAGCAAATCTGGCACGTCTCTGTGCAACGATGGTGGAGATGGAAGGGAGGTCACCATAGATTTGCTTTAGGGTTGGATGCTTCTTCCATGAAAGATTCCTGGCTTTCATTAGGAGCCTGGTGTAGCACCCGTCGAGACGCTTCTCAAACTGCTTGTTCAAGGTCCAGGTTTCTGAGCCATACAGCAGAACAGGTTCGATGCATGCTCTGAAGAACTTGACTTTCAGCTGGTCAGCAATGCCAGAGGTCCATACCTTCTGCAGTTTGATACAGGCTGACCAAGCCATGCCTTTCCTGGTGTTGAAGTCCTTCCTGCTCTCTGCAATATATGAGCCCAAGTATTTGAAGTCATCAACCTGCTTGATCTGGTAACCGGATATTGAGTTCACGGGGGCAGCATCAGGAATGTTGATGGTCATGTATTCGGTCTTGGAAGCATTCATCGCAAGTCCGACATGTGCTGCTGCAGTCTCTAAATCCGAGAGCAGTTGCTGGACTTGCTCTATGGTATCGGCAGTCAAGGCCAGGTCGTCAGCGAAGTCAAGATCTGTGACTCTGACCGCAGGTACTCTCCGACTTTGCCTGGGGATGATGGTTAGGCCATGGTCAAGAGTCATGCAGTTCCTAAGGACATAATCGAGGACGATGATGAAGAGGAAAGGAGCGAGTGTATCACCCTGAAGGACCCCGATGAGTGTTCTAAAGAAGTCTGTAAGGCCGTCAATGGTTTTGACTCTGGAGTGCGATGAGTCATACAGGAGCCTGATAGCATCAGTTATGGGAGCAGGGACGCCGTAGAGGGAGAGGATGTGAAACAAGGCATCCCTGTTGATACTGTCGAATGCTTTCGAAAAGTCGACGAACACGATAGCTGCTGATCGATTTCCGATTTTACACTCTTCTAGGATGCGTCGTAGGGCAAGTATCTGAGGGAGGGTAGATCTTCCTCTGCGGAAGCCATTTTGGTTTGGCCGCAGTAGGGGATCCAGGTATGGGTAAATCCGGTTGAGGATGAGTTTGTTGAAAACTTTCGCTGCAACCGGAGCCAATGAGATACCTCGATAGTTCCCGGGGTTGGTCAGGTCGCCTTTCTTGGGGATGGGTATAATAGATGCCGTTGTCCAGGCTTCAGGGATTACTCCATCAATTAAGGCCCTGTTGCAGAAACTGAGGAGGTCGTCACGAAGTTGGGGAAGCTTCCAAACTGAGGGAGGGATGCTATCTAGGCCTGGTGACTTGGAGGACTTGATGGACTTGAGGACTGAATCGAGTTCGGACATGGAGAAAGGAAGACAGCTAATGGGAAGGGTGTCCGAGACTCTCTGGTTGTAGAAGGGCAAGGAGAGGTCAGGGGGTGGCTGCTCTGTCCCGAGGAGCGACTTGAAGTGCTCAAACCAAACGTTGAGCCGCTGTTCGGTGGTGCCCCCAGGCACTTTACTATAGGGCACGGTGTTAGGAGACGTTAGCTCTCTGATGATGCGCCAAGAGCTCCGATGCCTGTGCTCAGGGTTAGTCTGCTCCAGACATGCAGTCTGTTGTTGGACATACTGTGCAGTAGCGGTGTTGTATGCTTCGTCCAGCTGCTTCTTGGCGTCTTCGAGCTTTTCTTTAGATGAGAAGGAGGGAGAAGTCCTATGACCCAGAGATGCAGTCTTGAGAATATTGCGATGGTGTGCAATATTAGGGTCGTTATATGGGTTTCCCTTTTTCTTCTTCTTTTTCTTCGGAAGTATTCGAAGAGCCTGTGGTCTTGACACTATCAACCATCAGGTCATAGTCAGACTGGAGCTCTGCTTCTTGCAGGAGAGCGCTGTACCTGTTCTTCACTTCCACTGCATACTGATGTTTGGTGAAACAAGCTTAATAAATTACCGAGTGATAAAATTCAGCAAGTCGAAACAAATTAAATGATGATATCAGCTGATAAACTCTTTTTTTGGGATTATTAAGTTGGGGGGCCGGGGGGGGGGCTTTAAGGGTAAAAAGCAAAAAACCTATTGACAAAAGATTTTACTTTACATTTACTTTAAAGGGCAACAAGTTTAAAGTTTTCGGAATTTTTTAAAGAACCCTTTAATAAAAAAAGGCTGATAGTATTTGGGTGGGGGGGTTGGGGTTGTAAGATAAAAAAATTTTTTTGTTAAGGAATTTTGGGGTTGGTTTAAATGAATTTTTGGGAGTGGAGGGTTAGAGGGGGAAAATTTTTTTTAAAAAGGGGAAAAATAAATGATTTAAAAAAAAAAGATGGGGGGAATTTGGGTTTTGGGAATTTTTTGGGTTGGAAATTAATAAAAAATTTATAAACCCCTCGGGGATACAAAAAATAAAAAAATTTTACTTTGTAGGCAGTAGGGAAATTTTAAATCTTTGCGTTGGTTCCCGGGGCCCGAAATTCTTATATATTTAAAATTTTTAAAGGGATTTTTTGTTAAAGTTATTTGGGGTTCCCTTAACCCGTTTCACTTGCTGGGGGACGTATGGGGAAAATTCCCATTTGGGGAAAAGGAATTCAAAAATAAAAACTTATTGGAGGTTTAAGGGAAAAATTTTAAAATTGGGGGGGTTTAAAGTAAATTTACCTTTTGGGGGGAAATAAATTTTTAAAAGGGGATTTTTTGTTGGGGGGGATAAAAGGGGGGGGGGTTGGTTGAATTTGAAGATGATTTTTGATTAAAAATTTGTTTTGTGTTTTTAAAAAGCAAAAAATTTCTAATTTAGATTGAAAAAATTTGTTTGGGGTTAAAAAGGGAAGGGAAATTTATGGAGGTTTTAAATGGGGTATTGGGGAATTTTTTTAAAAATTTAAGGGGGGGGTGTTTTTTTAATTTTAAAAATATTAAATTTTTTGTTTTAAAAGGGGGGAATTTTTTTTAGAGGGGATTTTTTTTAAAAATTTGGGGAAAATTTTTGGGGGGGGATAGGGTTTTTGGGTTTTGATTAATATTGTATTTCAATGATATGGGTTTTTAAATTTAAAGGGGGAGTGGTGAGGGGGGAAAATTGCAGTTTCTTTACAATAAGTTTAAAAAAATTTGGCTTGTGATAGATGTTTGTCCCTTATTTACTCCCTTTTTTCCTTTGCCCATGGTTTATGGTAAATCAATGTTTTACTGTATCGGAAAATACTGATACAAATTTCTTAAGAACAGGATGGCTGCTCCACCTGCAATGATAGAAGATGTTGATGATCTTGACTTAATTCCAGATGAAGAGCTGGAGGAAACTTATCTTGAGAGAATAATTGGTCTTAGAGGTAAAGATACACTATATTTTACATGGTATTATTATATGCAAGCCTCTTGATTTATTATCCTGTTAGGGGTCAGCCGAGGGGGAGGGGGAGGGGGAGGGGGTTTCTAAATGATTAGGGGTCGTTCACATATTACGTAATCAATTTTTGGAACATTTTGACCCCCCCCCCCCTTCCGTAATCAGTTTTACACATAGCTATTGTGTCAAAATTACAGTAGCGTAATCAATGAAACAAGAAATTTCAATGAAACAAGAAATTTAATTTTAGCACATTTTTACAGAATAAAAAGATGTAAAACAATTCATAAAATATAATGCCCATTTGGTGTATGACTTTTTGTCCTGACTGCTAGTTTGGTTTATGAAGGACAGGTAACTAACGGGGCAAGGAATGCGCGTGCCTGGAAGCTTTTGCACACACCGAAACGCTAGTTCAGTTAAGTTTTTAGAGACAAGGCTCAGATTAGGACTAGAAGATAAATTGTTAGCAGACATTAGAGGTTCTGTTTATAATTGTTACTATAGGTACGGTTGCAGTCTTGTTGTGACAAAAAGTCTACACTAAAACATGATTTAGTTTATATTTAGGATATAAAATGCAGCTTCAAGGTGGATATTGGAGAGCTGGTGAAAGATTATGGCCTTTGTATCAATTGTTATAATAAGCTATAAATATCTTAAACTATACAGTGCTAATTAAAAATTTCTTTAACGTTCATTCTCAAATTAGATTTTTAAAATTCAAAAATAGATATACAATGATTTTATTAAAACTTTCTCACACATACTTTACTCACAGGACAAGACTTGGAAAACAGTGGCCTAGCGTAATTTTAATTGAGATGTGTGTGACCAGCCAGTTATGTTTGGACAATAACATTTGTGCAGTCAAAATCTTTGAGGGTCCAATCAAGCAGGGCGTGATTATGTTGATTAGCTAATAGCGCACGTTTTAACTTATCATTCGGAAACCCCCTCCTCCCTCAGCTGATTACGTGATATGTGAACGACCCCTTACGGAGAGGGGGTTTCCAAATGATTACGGTTGACTACAGGGGGGGGGAGGGGGTGGTTGATTGGCTGTTGAGTATGTAATCAAAATTTTCTTTTTTACCCTCTAGAATAATAACAATTTGACAATATTTTAATTCAAATCCGCTCAATTTCACTCTGAAAGTGATAAAATTTAGGAATGGATTGGGTACGTGACTGCTAAAGTAAGTAGTTTGGAAAGTTCTTGGCTGGATATCATGACAATGATTTCGGCTCATAATGATCGGGGTAGGGGGCCGGGGTCAGGCCATGATTACGTAATTTTGTTGTCAGGAGGGGGGGGGGGGGTGGGTATTGATTACGGTTGATTACGGAGGGGGGAGAGGGGTAAAAATTGCTCAAATATTATATATAAAAGTAATATGTGAACGACCCCTTATTGATAATTTACAATTCACAACTGATTTATTAAAAGTTTATAACAGAATGTACTTAAATTTGAACCAATTGAAATGAAATTAAATGTCCCATATTTGTATTTCAGAAATGTTCCCACGTTCAGCCAGGACGGGAGGAGCCTTTGTGGCCACCACCACCAAAACCTCATCGCTGTGGCTGTATCATTTTATAAAGAGTGCGATATGGATCACAACTACATCTGCTATTATAATGGCCCTTCCAGTGGCCATCGAGATAACTCAGATTCAAGCTGCTGATGACATGAAGAAGGTGCGGCAGGAGAAATTGTTTGCTAAATAGTGCACTGTGTGTGATTATGAATGAAGTTTGTGGTACTTTGTACATGTCTGCCAGTCTGTTAACCAGGAAACTAGCTAAATTCAATGTGTCTTTTCCATTTGAGTCATCTATAAATCATCTATGGCTTAGGTTACAACCAAGAGTTTGTTGCGAACTTGCTAATATTGATCACAAGCAGATTGATATATTTGTTTAAGTTTAAACTTTTGAAATTTTGGACCATTAAGTAGCAGTTCAGTGCACTAAGACTTATCAAAAAGTTTTTACACAGTATTTTGTCGTTATTTGAACTCACTGCACTATTATGACCTAGAACCTGACTCTATTTCTAACTATACGGCAACAGTCAGAATTTGATGCTCACAAAACCTCTTATTGATTTGCAGATACTGTTATATGGAGATATTCTATATCTTATGTTAATAATTTATTATTTTTATACAGTGTTTTAAGATTTGTATAACCTTCTACCATAACTTCTGCATAATGTATATAACCATTCCAAGTCTATCTCTGGACAAGTTTAAAATTTCAAATTCATTTAGAATTTTGATAGGTTGATTTATTAATTTATGATTATCAAATAAAACAAAAAATTCAATTTTTGACAAATCTTAAAACACTCTAGATTATGACTTTAACAACCCTTGCTAATGCGGAACAGAAAGCTAGTCGAAAGAATATAAAGAATGAGAGGAAGAATAAAAACACCTGTGGTTGAAGGTAAATTTGTAAGTTCAATTTGTAACGGAGTTTTATTTTAACAGGAAACGATGTAACTGAGTCAATATATTTTAATGTTGCCATGGGGTGGCAAGTCCCCATGCATCGTGGTCCAATAGTTTCATTGCGTCTTAATATAGGGACTAATACTCTATCAATATGTTGGTCTGTCCCTTGATAAATTGTCTCTTTCAGAGCGTGAAAGGGAAAGATAAAATGTGGATGCCAGTTTAGAGACCAAAACCTTAGCTGTGGCTCAATGTGAAAGTAAAGATGAAGGATTGTGCTCTTAAAGATGCCAGACAAGCTGCTGAAGCTCACTAAACGGTTTGTGACACATTTACTTATAATATTACACATGGATCTTAGTACAATAAGTTTTCTTTCTGCTGTCAGACGTTTAATGCTGATATGATTAACTAATTGTCGTGATTCTTATAGCTTTAGAAAGTTAAATGTTACTATGGGAGAGCCACAACCGTCAACATTTGTCACACTGCCAAGAGAAAGCAAACCTCGACTTGAATGCTCGATTCAAGAGCATTCAAGAGAAATCTTCCTAGGGACTTTACACTTATTCTGAAAGGGGGCGAAAAAGTACCTGTTAGTTCAGAGGTTCTCTGTTGGAATAGCCCAGTTTTCAGAGAAATTATTCAAGACCTGAAAGTGACAAGCCATGAAATGGATGACTTTGAATATGATGCTGTTGAATGCTTCATTCAATGTCTATATACAGGGAAATCAAAATCTTTGAGTGCTAACATCTTTAGGGAGTTTTATAAAATGGCTAATATATTTGTTGTTTCGTGGCTCATCTGCAAGTGCATACAGTTTTTTGAGGGTATAGCCAGAAAAGAGTACAAAGATATGGAATATCTTCATTTTCTTATTTCGGAGGCAGGTTATGCTTTTGAGACCTGTAAAGATAGCCGATTGATAGATCTTCTCAAAAGGTTGTCATCTGAAATTTTCTTCCCCACTGAATCAATCTGCCTGATTGTGCCATCGAACGAAGATTTGAATGATATTAGCTCAACTTCTTTGGAGTTGCTTAAAGTAGTCGCTGGAAATGAGGTCGAAATACTGGCAAGATTAGTTGAAGGATGTGTAAGAGAATCTAAATCTATGACTGAAAATGTAAAGCTTCTTTTGGACCCAGTTTTACTAGCAAGATGTTTGATCCGTGATAGTGGAACTTATTTCAGCTTGTTTGAAACCCTGCATCGTTTAGAAACCCTGACATTGGAAGATACAAAGTTCATCAGTAAGATACAGTTAGAAAGCACTCGTAGAGTCTCTCAAATTGCCATTGTTAAACCCATTACAGCTGCGGATTTAAAAATTCCTGACCCAATATGTTGCCGTCCCAACTATTACATCAGTCAAAAACTCAAGGAAACGAGCAGCTACTCAAAATTTATCAAACTTTTTCGTGAGACTTCAACAGTTAAGAACCTTTATCAGTTTATTGATGGAATGATATTCTGGATGTATTTTCATGCTGAGAGTAATTTAATACCAAATTGGTCTGAGGATGTTGAACACGAAATAGTCACTATCAGAATGGAGCAACGATGGAGGAAAGTTTCAGATGAGTACCTCATAAATAAACAGTTTCAAACAAAGGCAATGGATGATTTCTTTTCTTCATTGCTAAAATGTTCAAAACTAGTCTGCAAAAGGAAACCTCCCTGATGGCCGACAGATGCGTATCAGTTCTCAAGCTGTTTAAACAGTCCCACGTTTTTCACTTTACCCCACCAAAAGAGACTCATCTGGAAAATAAAGCTTCAGTTTCAAGCTTTTCGATAAGATCGAGGTCTTCAAATGCAGGTTACCGTTCAAATTCACCTAATGTTCTTTTTGAGTTTATCCCAAAAGATGTAGATGGCTTTAATCAATTAGCTCAAGCAGCGAAACCATTTATCCTCAACAAATGCATCTCTGCTTTTCTGTTTCGGGCAAAGCAAAAAGTGGTCCTAACCAGTTCGTAAATTGGGAACCTATGCCTCCTCTGACCTGGGCAAGTGGGCTACATGGCTATCATCAAGGTAAACGATTTCATTTGTGCTGGAGAGAAATTGATTTCAAGGAGAGTGAAATTCCAGCTGTTGACGAAACCTTTGAAGGGAATTTCAAGCTTAAATGCAAATTATATTACTAAATGGATATAACTTTTTGAGTGAATGATAAGTAAATCTTCGTTGTGGGCTGTGGCTGTAGTTTCTTCGATTTCTGCCATGCTGTTTATTAACAGTTTATAAGAAAACTCGATTTATTAGCGAAGAATCAGTATATTTAAGTACTATATATCTTTATTGAATATTGAAATTTGAATCGTTTTGATGAAATATTACATCGTTCTGTATTGAAGATTTCAAAGATATCGAAATTGCATAATGTGATGTGTCTCCTAGGAGGTCATGATAAAATAGCTTGAATCATTTTGTTGGGTACGTTTTTTAATATGTTTTATAACTGACGATTTTTGAAATTATCAAATACGATTTTGGTCTAAAAAAGTATTAAATTGTTGTGTATTTGATTCTCCTTTTTAAAAATAATTGAGTGTCTTTCTAGAGATTAATTAAATACTATTACTGCTAGATTTGAATATTTGTACTTGTAGGTGACTTTTTGAAATGTGCTTATTTGTATGGTTTTGGCGAATCAATTGTTTTTTAGATTGCAGACATGTATTGAAGTTTTTAATAATAATAAACCAATTGCAATATAATGTAAAACCCCCATTTAACCCCCCCCCCCCCCCCCCCCGAATTTACCGCGCGGTCTCCTTTCCCAAATAGGGCTTAACATGTATAATGTAAACAAAAAAACCCTGATTTACTGCAAACTCCCGATTTACCGCGGATGTTTCCTTTCCCCCAACTTTATATACTATATGTTTTGATTCTTAGTCCTTAGAAGAGCACTCTATAATCAGTTTTTTGCTGATTTGAATGTCCTGCACAGCAGATCGAAGCATCTTTAAATTATTTACTATTTTTTCCGTTCACACTCTTTTGTAAAAAGACAATAGTGAAAGGTTACGAATGGACGTTTTTGCAGAAAAACGTGGATTTTGGAGAACGAGATAGGTGGGTTTAAATATGTCGTCCGTCCTTTCGTTAGTTACCATGACAACTAGCGCGCAGTGCAGCGCGCGAGTATTGCTTGCGGAGATATGATGTATATAGCTAGCATGTCAATGAATGCGCGGCGCGAGTGTATCAATTAATGTATAGTATTAGGTAATAAGCCCAATTTGTACGTGGCATGCGTAGTATAGTGTACTATGTGTATATTATTATTATGAAGTGAGCTGATTAGAGCTTATATAATTTATAAATATAGTGAACGGAAATCTAGCGTCCGCCAAAACGAAACAACGGGCGCAATTCTTGTTATTGTATTGCTGTGTAAGTTTGAATATAATTCTAATTCTAATTTTAATGTTTACGAATGCTGAATTGTTTTACTTGCAAGGTGCAACTTAATCATAGATGAACACATTCTTCAATAACTCATCTCAAATTAAAATGATTTAGTTGTCGTATGCGATGACTAGTGCTGCAAATTTAATCATCAGAACGTGTTGCACAATCATTGTAGCAAACAACATTGTAGACTCTTTGTGTCGAGAAACTCTGCAGTTATTAAGACGTAATTATTATTATATACATATTATGTAACTAATACTCTATCAATCTATTGCTCTGTCCCTTGATACATCGTCTCTTTCAGGGCGACGTACAGTCTTGGATGAAGCTAGAAGATACAACAGAGATGGGGTATACACTGGAGGACTCAAGACTCAAGAAGGAGTAGAAGGAGGACTCTTCAAGAAGGAGTAGAAGGAGGAATCAAGACTCAAGAAGGAGTAGAAGGAGGACTCTTCAAGAAGGAGTAGAAGGAGCTCTTCAAGAAGAAGTAGAAGGAGGACTCTTCAAGAAGGAGTAGAAGGAGGACTCTTCAAGAAGGAGTAGAAGGAGCTCTTCAAGAAGGAGTAGAAGGAGGACTCTTCAAGAACGACGATAAAGAACGGTGTGGGGGACCGGTATGTTCTACGAAGGGTTTTAGGGTTTTAGTTCTGATAATATAATGATTAATGTATGTGTTTTTAAGAGTGAGCAGACTCTTGATCAGTACCGGTTTGTAAGTAAACGATTCAAGGCTCTCATGTCTTCAGCTCTTCAGATGTCTTGGTCATTCTAATAGCCACACATTTATTGAAATGTGTGTGAGGGAAATGAAACGCATGTCAATTTTCAAGCTATTTTTCTTTTCAGGCTGACGAATATTTTGGAGTGTATGCGATGTCAATGATAAAGATGCAGATGGTCTTATGATTCCTGTTGAAGACATATTCTGAAACTCATTTGATTGTTTGTTCGTACTGTAAATTGTTCATCTTTCGAACTTGAGTTAACACCATATTATGTTCTTGTATCTATTGTATCTATAAGAATCTTTGAATTATACCTATAACACGTACAGAACTTAGTACCTGACCCCCCCCCCCCTCTCCCGACCTATAACCGGCAATAGTCTGATTTTAACCATACGGTAAAAGAATTCTTATCAATTCGCTGATCATACTCTTAGGTTGCAAAATTCCATATAATTATCTTGATTTGTTATTTTTACACCTTTTTAAATCTAGTATATTCTCCCGCGACCAGTGAACCCTATTTTAATTCTATTACGTTTCAACTA